TCTGTCATACTATTTTTGTCGTTGATGATAATTATGTATCTTTTAATTGACAGTCATGCATTATGTTATAGTCAAATTATATCGTACCTACAATCCTCGCCAAAAGTCCTTGAAACACCTCTGCAATGTTGAGATGTGATTGCAATGTTACGTGGCTACAATATTATTGCAAAAGGGAGGATAAGGGGGATGGGGGGGAGAAGGGACAAAGGAAGCAGAATTTTCCAAAGTGTTTCAAGGTTTTTGTTTGAGATTGTAGCTTACCAGGGGGCGAGAAAGTAGTAGGTGCATGCAATATAGTATATAGAGCATCGATAATTTAGTTTTCTTTAATGACCGGTGTGACCATGTTACCAGTACATACAGAGGTCAGCTACAAGCAATGACCAGGGGTCAATTTGATAAAACGTCTAAAACGAATACTGTAATTTACAACTGTAGCTACTGTTTTCAGACTCTAAAACAATGGCTACATTTGTAAATTAAACGTTTTATTAAATTGAACCCAGATTTAAAATGGATTTTGATGAGGCTGTTTTATCTCATGAATTATTTGTGTCATGAAGATACGCTAACTCATTCTTGCAGGTCGCTGCACGAGAACAAAATTGAGCAGCTTCCACCTGGGATCTTCTCCGATCTATCTGAACTAAGAGAGTTGTAAGTTTTTTTTCTCTGCTTGTTGGTAATGTTCAAGACTAAAACACTAGGCTTGTTCAACCACGTGTACATACGATTCCGTACGAGTAACCTAGGCGGCTAGCATACAAGCAACATTAAGATACCAACATCACCCGAAAGCGGTGTAGGACACCGTAGCTGACCCCTTTTCCAGTAATATGGTTGGTTCCATCAAAATACTCAAATGTGCCATTTTTAATACAAATTGCGCCATCCCCTGTGACACACGAGCGCAATATAATTTTTGTTAGAACGCCGTGCAAAGAATACACAAACTGGCATCGAAAATTACCTTTAAGGGACATGAATAAATTCCCTTTTGTCGTCATTGTCCCTTCTTGAAACTGATTATAAATGTAATGATTATGGACGTGATTCCGGTTATTGTAAACATTGTAGTAAAAGTGCTTTTGATAAATCTAATGACGAAGAGATGTCGGAGATGTCGTCCAAAGAATATCCCGTCCGGGTGCAAAAAAAATCAGGGAAAGGAGAGTGGAAAATTACCGCCACCAGCGACAAAAAATAATGGCAAATGCAATTAGTTGATGAAGATGTTTGTGCTTTTTCACTGGCACTGAAGAAAGAGACGAGCCTACAAACAACTACACAGTCATCCAATTTCAGAGTATAATGCCATGCATAAATATTTTATTCCTTTTATTCCTCTTCATGATTTTTTAAGCCACATCAAGAGATACATCGTGTACACGTGTACATATTTCTATCTAAGGTATCGCCGTTTTTCGTTAGTTTTCGAGATCACGAAAAATTTAAGAAATAACGAAGGAAATGCTAAGATAATACAGCCCAGATGAGCTGCGAGGAGATAGTTAAAATAAATAAAACTGTTTTTCTTTAAATAAAAAAGCAACGCTTGAAAAGTAGCAAAGCTGTTGTGGATTTCTCTTCTTGTGTGGATGGAAAATACGAATAATATATATTTAATACTAGATATGTCATAGGTGTATATTACATATATGAAGCATATATGAAGCACTTGGAAAGTTTAAAGATGACTTAAGTAAAGTTACAAGAAGATCGCCCATCTCCTGAAACTCCATGCGGCAGCCTGTCAAATTTGCGGGTTCCTGCGCGAGTTAATAACGTTGAGAGTGGCTCAATTCTTGCTAAAAATAGCGCAATTAGCCATGGAACCGCGTGGACTCGGCGCTTGCGATTTCTACTCCGATTATGGCTCCAGTACAAATCAGTAAAAAACAAACAGTTGTGGGTAATACGTATTTTGAAGTCTTTTTTTTTATCATTGCCAATTTTAAACCTTATAAGTAACAGTATTATTGTGCTAAGCCTCATGTGGTAGAAAAGCCATATGGTTAAATTACAGAATTAAACTGTTACTTCCTTGGACAAGGCCTACGTCAGGTATAACCGTCTTTTAGTCCTAATGGTACATATAGGAGCCGGTGACCAAGCTCCTAATGCCTAAAATGTTTGTTACAGATAAATGTCCAAGTTTGCACGCAGTAGCAAAAATTGCGAAAAATTGGAGAAATCGCAGTTTTTGCGAAAATTACTAAATTCAAGTGGTAAAGGAGGTACAAGGGTGTCCAGCAAAAACTGTGATTTCTGCAATTTCTGAGATTTCTCCAATAATTGCGAATAATTGGAGAAATTGCAGTTTTTGCTAAAATTAATTAAGTCAAGTGTTACAGGAGGTACAAGGGTGTCCAGCAAAAACTGCGATTTCTGCAAAAATTGCGAAAAATTGGAGAAATCGCAGTTGTTGCTAAAATCATAACAAGCTAGAGGGTCCATTTTAATGCGAAAGCGCCGTTGAACGGCGCATTCATGGAATATTTGTGGGAATTATAATTAGGTAAGCTGTCAACTCCTATTGTTTTGGACTAAGGTTCAAGTTTACAAAGAGACCCTGAAACATGTTCATCAGCTGTCGACACTTTCAATTTTAATTAGATTTCTTTCATCCCTCTCTTTAATTCTAAGCGTTAACAAGGTGAGATTAATAATCCTTGGTCGACTTCTGTCACGTTGCCAACATAAGCATAATCGACAATAAGTATTATGCAATGGCTTCGTCTGATTGTCGAAAACCGGAGAAATGTACGTTCATTAAGTTTCCGCAATGATTTGAAAGGTGGTTTCTCCTTGTATTGAAGATAGTAGATTTTTGGTGTGATCATGATGAGGCTTGTGCAAGAAAAAAAGATGCCCGTTTGACCACCTCAATAAGAAAACGTTCGATTGATCGAATTCCGGAATAATGACACCTAGAAATTTGAAAAATCTCTTCGACCGAAAATTATGCACCACTTAGATGAAACATTGGCTTCAAGTATAAATACCTTCTGGATTATAAATGAAAGCCAATAATTAGTTATTTTCAGCGTTTTTTCAGTAAGTCTTATTCCAATTGACGTATTACAAAAGGTTGAAAGACATCGGACAACTTATTCCTGAACACGGTCAATCGAGCGCACGGCAAAATCATTTATGATAATTTAGTCAGGATGGTGAAAAATTCGACCAGGACGTTTTCCTGGGATTGACCTTTGGTATTTCTTAGCCACTTCCCTCAGGACTGGTGGAATTTCGAATTTAGCCTCTTTAAATAAACGAGTGACCAGATAGCCAAACGACACTTATGCCTCGTGTTAAACCCTCCAGCTACAATCTTAGGAAAGAAACTTGTTTTAAACCTAAGATTAACACTATGCGCTTTAAAAACTCTTTTATCAATCGTTTAGTTTTTAAATATGAATTAGCTATGTAATATACTAGATATATACACCGGTATATATATATATTTTTAATTCTTACTTTTTAACTTTTTAAAATTTCTTACACTTACTTGTAACAAAAGATATGTATTTTTATCTCTTGATGAATAAAGACTTTATTATTATTATTATTAAACACGTCCGGCTAGCGATGGACTGCCTTTCACCGCAAAGTATTTCCGGTGCGATGTGAGGAAATTTATTCATAGATTTCTCAATGTTCACCTTGGGTTTACGTAACCTGGCTTTAGCAATCTTGCAGCTTTTTCCAAAATCGATAATTACGGGCTTGTTTTCCGATCCGTCAATGACAACATTATTGCTCGTTGTGCAAGAAACCTCTTTCATGGATGAACATTAGTATTTCGCATATTTGCTTTAAGATATTTGCGCACATGGCAACATGTTGAATAACTTTTTCCGAAGCGGCCTTAAAAAGTGTTACGCTTTCACTACGCAAAGCGTGGAACTGGAGAACCAGATAAAATGGTGCCCGATCTGTGAAAACACCAAACAGAAGGGGGATTCCCCAGTGGTCTCCAATTCCAGTGATTGCCGATGCTTCTCGCCACACTTCCTCTCGTCTTGGGGATTCAATTATTTTCATTTCTTTAGCAACAACGCCGTATTCATTGCGATATAGGGCGATGTAGCAGTTCCCGAAGGTTCCGTTTCCAATTTTTTGGCTTTTATCCACTTTCAGCAAAGACCTATTGATCTCCTTAAACGCAAGAGCATCTGCGTTCTTGCCGATGCTATTTTTCTGGAGCCAACTTCGATTTGTTTCCGTGAAATTTTTGTGGCCGGCACGTATTTCTCGTCGGTATGACCTTTCCGTTTTAACTTCGAATGTGATAAATTGACCATGACCTTACCTCTGGAAAAAGTATTTGCCTCTGGAGATAGTTTGTTGGCCTCGATCCGTTTCTTGTTTGCGGGCAGTGATTCTGCCACCTTCTCACTTTCTGATTCTCGAACCTTTCCATTCTCCTCTCCCTCTTCCGGCATCTTCTGTAGTTCTGGTCCACGAGTCTTCTCATCATATTTCTCCTCTTGTGGCAACTCCTCTCTTTCTGGTACACGAAAGTTCTCATTCTTCAATCCTTCCTCCCATTTTCTCCTCAACCATACCTTATTTTGCTTTGTTTTCTCTTTTTCAATGCGCTCTTGAACGACACTTTCCATCCCTTACTCGGAATACTCGCTCTACTTTTATGCATAACTCCTCTCGCTCGTTTGAGCATATGTTTTATTTACGGGAAAAGACTTCCGATACCGAAGGTAGCACGTGGTACGTGAGAATTGTCTCTAAACAGAATCCATTGTTTCAAGAACACCCGTACTCAACCCACATATCAAAATTAAATTCCTTTTTCCTGTCCTCACACTTTTCCCTCTTAAATGGTTAGGAGAATTTATTTTATATCAAGCGCTGTGTGATCACGTCCTTTATTCTCATAACCTATGTGATTGACAAGGAATGTTACTTGACAAATTTCTAGTTTGCTACAGGAAAATCGACGGCGAGATGGCGAATCCGTTATAGCTGACAACGACATGGATCTGCGCTTTAAGTTTTCACAGAAGTGTTGTTTATGTACTGGAAAGTTTAAAACTTTTAGCACAATTCAAAAGCACGCGGAACGAAAACACACGGTAGAAGGTGATCGCGTCTTAAATGTGGTGTTTTTGGACAACCAGGAGAACGAGGCTTCAGTGCCCGACATTGGATTTCTTAACAGGAGATCGCAAGATTTTAAAATAGGATATTTATCGTGGCTGGCAGGGCTTACGGAGCAGATAAACGCTTCCCTTAATCCTCGTTTACGTGGTAAGTGGCGAATTTAAACGGCACAAAGCCTAATACCACCTAAGCATTTTGCATCGCTGTTAATTTAGATCTATGCCCTTGAATATTCCACGTTAAAAGCCACCTAAGGTACTACCCAATCATCTTTTCAGTTGTGCGTACAGTCAAACTTTGCTCGTTTCTTTAGCATTTAGTTTCTCAGTTTAGTAGCAAAGTGCTTTGCCCGTCATTTAGCCGATTCTCTCACTGGCACGAGCGCACGTTACTCGAGTTTCGCTTGTCACACAATGGGCGCGATCCATTCAACCAAACTTTCCGGAAATTTCGGTTTAAAACTCAATGGATCGGTTCGGTCCAACCGGAAAAGTTTCGAAAAAACGGGTCCACCTTTTGAGGTGGTCCTCTTTTCCCGGTCGGACCGGTTGGAAGTTTGGTTGAATGGATCGCGCCTAATGATCCCGGCTACGGGAGAAGAGCGTTGCGTGACGAAACAGAACCACTGTGTGCGAATGAATGAATAAAATCTTTATTTTACTTAGAATGTCAGATGATCTCAGAAAGCTTAAACTTACACTTCTCTTGTCAAAAAAATGTGCTGAAGACCCAATTTAATTGTAGCTGGTTTTGTCTACTTTCATTTCTAGGTGGTTTGGTGACTTTACAAAATTCCCACAAGTTCCTGAAAGGTACTTTGGGCACTTAGCTTGTCAACTAGGATGCAGGGTGCATAGCATGAGGCAGGTACCTCATAAGAAGCCTCCATTTTACTGCCCATCAACAAGGCGAGTTTCCTATAAAGTGTATAGCCTCACTTCATTTACTGATGCATTGCATGAACAAACCCTTCTTAAACTAAATGAGACGGCCTGGTACAGTGACCTACAGGAAGTGGAGAAAAGATCTGACCTTAGCCCTCAGGAGGAGCTCCAGGCTGCCAAGAACTGTAGTTTTTTGAGCACTGTCAGAAATGAGGAGGGATCAGGGGATCTATTAACCAAACGTCTAACAGCCAAAGCAAGTTTGGAGATGGGTCCAAGACAAGGATGGACCACTAGGGAGGTAGAGGTAATCTGTTGGCCAGATCTATACTCCACCACAAGGAATGAAAAACTTTCAACAAGACTCTATATTAAAAAAGTAACTGTTTGAAACATCTTTTTATGAACAGTATTTTTAATTTGCAGTCTCTTCAATATTGATCAAACATTCAGGCAATGGCTTTAAAGTGGACTTCACTTCCCTGAAATATCTGGGAAGTTGTTTCTCTTCCATTTTTTACCTGCAAAGAGCAGTGTTAATTGTCAAACTTCCTTGTTTGACCTGTACAGAGGTTAATTTTGCTTTTTTATTCTTCTCTGCCTCTTTGAAATGTAAGCTTGACATAGATATCATATTATTCACTAAAGTGTTGTAAGTTGAAAAGAGCATAAAACACTAACCTTGGAAGGCAATAGTATATATAGAAAGGTTGTAGTCATTGTTGAAAATACAACATCAATTTTTTATACGAAAAAATGCAACTTCTTCATGCAACTTTAGTAAAACCACAAAAGCAAATTTTACCTTATATAGACACTAACTAAACAGACATGCTATTTAAATCTACTAAATAATGTTTTTACCTGTTAAAGGAAATTGAAAAGCCTATATGAATTTTATATGTATTTCAGCGATTTTGTGCTCAAGTTGTAGCAATTTAATGTTAGTTAACAAATCAGTAGCTGCTTTTACCAACAAAGAATCAGTTTGTGCTCAACAAAACAGCTTTTAAATCTGTTCAATTTTTGCTGAAAGTAGGGCATAAAGATTAAAATGATACAGTTTAATGGACACTTACTGGTCTACTCTGTGATTGGCTATTATCTTTTAATACATATGGTGGCTGCTAAAAGAGCCGTTTGTTTTTTGTCACCTGCAGTCAGTGCAATGTCAAACTCCCTGGTTTGACCTGCAGGATTTTATTTTTCATTCGGTTCTTCATTGGAAGTTTAGCTGAACATCAATGCCATGTCTTTTGCCTGAAAACTTAAAAAAGAGCAAACAACATTACTTTTGAGACAATAACTGATGTGAAGGTGTTGTCCTTGGTAAAATTGAAAAAAAGTTAGAATTCAATCTCATTCTTCCTATCATAAGCATCTTATTGAAAGCTTTGAAACAATTAATTCAGTGAAAACTGGGTTTCATCACCTCTGCAGTTTGGTGTGCCGCCTGTAAATCTTAAGAGGGAGAGGAAACTTTTACAATAATATTGTCAACAGCATTTCCATTCTAATAGCAACTATCTTATTGAAAGTTTTGAAAAAAATGAATTCAGTGAAAACTGGGTTCCATCACCTCCGCAGTTTGGGCGTGCCGCCTGTAAACCTTAAGAGGGAGAGAAAACCCTTACAATAATATTGTCAAAAGCATTTTCATCACACTAATAAAAAGTACCTTATTGAAAGCTTTGAAACAATTCAGGGAAAACTGGGTTCCATAACCTCCGCAGTTTGGGCGTGCCGCCTGTAAACCTTAAGACGGAGAGGAAACCCTTAAAATAATATTGTCAAAAGCATTTTCATCACACTAATAAAAAGTACCTTATTGAAAGCTTTGAAACAATTCAGGGAAAACTGGGTTCCATAACCTCCGCAGTTTGGGCGTGCCGCCTGTAAACCTTAAGAGGGAGAGGAAACCCTTACAATAATATTGTCAACAACATTTCCGTTCTAATAACAAGTATCTTATTGAAAGATTTGAAAAAATTAATTCAGAACAATAATATTTTCAAAATCAGTTTAATTCACAGTTCAAGAACAGTATCGCATGGAAAATTCACTTAAAATAGGCAGACAATCTATAATGGTGATATTTATACGGATTACTTATTTTCATTGTGTAAAACGATAAAGAAGTCTCTGGCGATGACTCCCCATGTCATGAAAACTCCAATGAAAGTGAGGCATTCCATTATCTGCAGGGTTGTCTATGAAATCAAAGACTGCCAAGATCACATCAATGCCACAACCAGCACAACCTTCCCTAAATAATGGCTGTTTGGGCATTCCAAGCCGCTGAATTGGAAAGGTGATATTCCATTGGGTTTCTGATACAGCCTTCAGCAGATTGTCAGCCAATTCAATGATGTTGGTAGGAGGACTCTGTTTTAAGCGATCATCATAGAATGCTTGCTGCTGTGCCATAAGGCAAAGGAGACTCCAGAGGTTGCCATTTACGTGGATTGGAGTAAGGATCCATACAACATCAAGATCCATTCTTGAAAGGTATGGTTTCAACTTTGTTTGTAGAAATGGCACATTTCTGGTTAAAGACCAGCTTTGTGTAAATGACGGTAGATACAAGGAATGGGAAGTTTTTCGCATGGGTTCCTCACTGTACCTCAAACATGCAGCATCAATCATCACGTCACCAATTCTAAGGATTTCTTCTTGAGGTTTACTGTCAAAAAGCAAAGCCCTAATTTCATTAATCTGCTAAGGGGTTAATGTGGTGCTTGAAGTTTTCATCCAATTTTCCTCTTCTTGGACTCTAAACTTAATGGAGGAAGCTTTTGATGCTTTCATCCAAATGTCTAGAGCTCTGCTGTCAAAGACCCCAAGATCTCCAAACCTGACTGCAGTGTCGAAATCCTCATCATCACTGTCTTCTCCACTTGCCGCATCCATCAGTCTATAACCCTTAGTGATTGCTGATTCTGAAGGCCTGACTGGGGACTGCAGAGGATTGTTAAGACGTCCAGGATCAACAACCAGCTCGATGTCATCATCTGGAATTTGAATTACAGGCGGAAGATTATGGGTAGCAAGTTGGCCTCTGGAACAATCATTTGCAGCACAAAATTCGTAAATCATGAATAAACAAAGGTTCTGATGGTTGAGGAACAAAGGCAGTTTTAGTATCCACTGTGACACTGGACGAAGGGCCAGTGTTCTCACCAGGCCGCGGCCTTGCGGGATTCCTGCAAGAAAAACTGAAATGGCGCATTAAAACCAAGAAGATGCGCCCGTTAGGGCGCAGGGGCAAGCTACGAGTCAAACGGACTTAAGTAGTTTTAATGGTCAACCTAACACTAAAGCATTCTGTTTGTTTGAATAAATAAAAAACATGATATCAAATGAGTCAAAGTCTTTAATTTTGTTGCCTTTACTTTCATTGGTCCCACGCACGTCCCACTAGATCGTAAACTCCTCCTCCGAATCGTGAACACCTCTTCCGCCATATTGGATCAGGTAGTTATTTCATGTAACAGACAATTTGGAGTGCGGGCTCAGGTTCTTCGTACCGCGTGTTTTTTGTAACTTTGTCCGCCTAATGTTCTTACAGGGCCCCTATTTCTCAGAAGAGGGGGCCCTGGGACTCCCCAAGGCAAAATCCTGGTGAGAACACTGAAGGGCTGCAACTGGAATTTGAAGGGCTAGTAGTGGCGGGGCTTGATAAGAGGCTTGTAGAAGAGCTGCTGACTGGGCCAGTGTTGCTGGAAGCTGGGCTGCTAGCTGGAATGGATTGTGGACTTTGTTGCTGTTCCAGCAAGGAAGTAAAACTGGTCAAAACTGTAGGAAAGAGTTGCTCCCACAGTGCTTGATGATATTGATAGATAGGTAAACAGTCGGGTGATATTACCACTCGTTTTAAACCTTTGTCAAATTCATAAGAAAGAGCATCCTTGCCAAACATTTTGTTGAACAAGTCATTCATGGTGAAAATCCAGGCCATGTCATCTTTTGACCATTACACTTCTTTTTTCTGGACCAACCGCAGCCTCTAAAATGAAATGGGTTACCTGACATACAAAAAAGAATATGCATTGGCAGAATAAGCCAGGTAACCAGTCACAGTTAAAACAACAACAACAAAAAAGATTTTAACAGACTGTGTTCAATAAGGTCTAAGCTTACTGCAAGTTTTTATGTGGTTAGTTTTCTACTGCTCAAGAGGAAGAATGACAACATATTAATGTTATCTCACCCCATTCCAGGTAGAAAAAGATAAAGTGCATGGTAAAGTTGTCATTGAATATAGTGTATGCTTTTTATGGGAATACACAACTCTCAGTTTTTTACATAACGTTGTCTCAACAAGGTAGAATACATTTGACTACACATCTAAGGGACTGACATAAAAAGAAGTTCCATTATGAATTATGTTTCTAGCTGGCAAACGTTTTAGAAGATAATCACCATTTTCCATGTTCTCTATAGCCATTCTGAAGCAAAGCCGCAGGAACAGCAACTTTGCAGAAAAGAAATGTTGCAAAATCTGTTGGACTTAATATAATGAAATAAAGTTGATTATTCAAAAGTGCCAACAACTTCAATACCACCAAGAACATGTGCTATAAAATTCAAGTAGAAATTTAAGTGATGAATTTAAAATTCAAACAATGACTTTTGGTGGGGATCGCACACCATAGCCTTCGCCTTTTTCTCCAATGGATTCTAGTTTTCACACAATAAGATACATAATATTCAAGAACATGAACAGTGTAGCTCCCAAAAACTGATATTTTACCAAAATGGTATGCCTTGAACAATGACTTCAATACTAACTGCAAATTGGCATTTAAAATTTCAATAAAGACCTTCAGCATCAGGTTTTTCATGCACGGGACACTGCAAACTGGTCTCAAATACGAGAACGCCAAGTGGTCTTCTGGTCGCGTTTGCAGTTTGCAGTTCAAGTTTGAATGGCAGGAAGGGCTTACAGCAGTAAGTGACTTACAGCAATGTTTTTGCCACTAACAGTTATATTATTGTTCAGCCTTACATTTAAAAGCACGAAGTAGGTTTCTACACCACCCTCTGATGTGCTAGTTAGAGCTGGTGATAAACAATAAATGTCTGCCTAAAGTTTAAAATCCAGGCAAAGTGAAACTGCAAATGGGTGACTGCAGACTGCAGTTTATTGTTTGCAGTATCCCATGAAAAACTGATGCTAAAGGTATTTTCAATACCTATGGATGTTCTCCAACAGGAAATTATTTTGCTAGCAATGAAAGATCTTAAGATTAAAGGATATTTTCAAAACAAGATTTAAAGTTCAAGGATTTTCCATTGACTCAACTT